CACAAAGAAGGGAGAAAGATCAAAGTGTACTATTGTCTTACTGTTCTAAGGGTCTTGACTATGTAAAATAGTATCTCATTTAAAGACTGACACATTAAAGATGTATATTGGGCTTGGCGCAGTAGCCTTGCAACTAAAGCCCTTGCCTTGCAAGTGCTGGTATCCCATATGAGCGCCAGTTCCAATCCTGGCAGCCCTGCTTGTCATCCAGCACCCTGGATGGCCTGGGTAATCAATGTAGGATGGCCCAAAGCCTTGGGATCCTGCCTACATGGGAGACCCAGTGAAGGCTCTTGGCTCCTGGCTTTGGATTGGCTCAGCTCTGCCACTTGGGGAGTGAATCTTCCCCTCTGTCTCTCCTCCTCTCTATATATCTGCCTTTTCAATAAAAATAAATAAATCTTAAAAAAAATATGTATACTCTAAACTCTAATAATCATTGAAAGACAGAAGCAAAGCAAAGGCCAGTAGTGCATACAAAAAAGGAATAATCCAAAGAAAAGTAAGAAGAAAAAAGGAACAAAGAACAGATGGAACAAACAAACAAAAAGTAGCATTAAGTGACCTTAAAATGTCAGAACCTCTGGTATATCCTAAGAACCAAAAAGCTTAATGAGGCAACTGGAACAATAACAGTGGATTTGGCAGGCCCAGGTCAGCTACCTGCAAGGGCAGAATGGGCACACCTTCCATGACCACAACAAGAAATCAGTTTGTGAGCAGAGGCCCAGGTCAGAAATGACAGTGGGAACACTGTTACCATCATTCAGAATCCTGCAACACGGTGAGGACAATGAGATCCAAGGTGGCCGAGGCCAACGAGCAGGACTTAACTGGCCAATCAGAGTGGGCATGAGGACTGTAAACGGTCAGTGCAGCCAAGCCAGACATTTGAATAGCATGCCCTGCAGAGACCAGTGGTGCCAGTGGGTGGAGCATGATGTTCTTAGAAATGGATGGGTAGTTTATCAAACTCTTAAATCTGTTTAAGTGAAAAACACTGTAGATCCAGTAAACTTAACTGTAACTTAAATCACCACAGGGTCCTGGTCCCAGGATAAAATCCCAGAATTGACCCAGCTCGCAGACCCAAAGTCTAAAGTAAGAAGACTTTACCATTTCTTTCCCTCTGACTTAACCCCTCAGGGGCTGCTTCAGATTTTGAAAGCAGCCTATTACTCACTGTGTTGCTACTCCAGCCCATTTACCAAGTGACTAGAAAGATGGCTACTCTGAGAGCCTGGAACCTGTTCTGCCACCTGGGTCAACCAAGTCCAATTTAATGGGACCTCAAGTCTGAGCAACAGTAAGAGACACTGTCTGGAACCTTCAGCAGCACCACAGGGGGAGTCACAGGGCAGCCTCTTAGGCTGCGTGAGGAAAGCCCTCCAATGGTTTGGAGTAACTACTCCTCCTCAGGGGAAGCAGCTTTTGTCCTTAGTGGGCCTTAGTAGATGTTTGGCAAGCCATAGGCCATCAAGTTACCTGGGGACCTGAAATGGATGTGGTCAATCCTCTGAGGCATAAAATTGGGTGTGGACAACTGTACATCATTACACAGTGAAGAGACACACATGAACCTGGGTTCAAACAGAACCTTTAAAGGCACAAGCTAAAACACCCATGGCTCTTATTCCTTCTCCAGCCTGCACCTACAGGCTTCTAGCGGACTTCTCTAGTGCCAGTTTACTGGCGAAAGGGAAACTTGGGCCAATCTGGGTGATAGGCAGGCAGCACTTAGAAGCAGGCAGCTGCAACACCAGTTCCTTTCAGACTACTGAGGCAGGGAGAGTCTCCTGTGGGCAGATCTTCTAGCGGTGCCCCGGGTGGCTCATTCTGCCCGGTAGGAAAACAGCCAGAGCTGGGCCTATATGACCTCACAGGCTGTGGCCAATGGCTTCACTGATGGTAACTCGGAACCCGGATGGAAACCTGGTGACAAAGTGTTGAGACCTCAGTTCTGTCCCCTAGAAATTCACGAGGAAGCCCGAACCCTCTATATCTCATCAAATGAGACTGTACTTTGAGACAGAGCCTTGCAAAAGGAAGTTAGTTAAAATGGGACCCTTAGGTAGGTCCTATTGATAAGAACTTCCAGGGCCCCTGGAAAGAAAAGGACAACACATGACATGACTAACCAGGAGCACTGGGCACACACAGTGTAATCCTTAGATGCTGGTAAATGCCCAGGGGACCTGAGGTAGTGAGCAGTCTGCACACTTTCCTGCTTCAGTACCCTGAAGTTCATGTGCCATGTCTCATTACCATTTACTTTTAGTAAATGATTGGTTGCTACTATTTTTAAAAAATCTTAATTTTTAAAAAGATTTATTTATGGGCTTGGTGCAGTAGTCTAGTAGCTAAGGTCCTCACCTTGCATGCGCCAGGATCCCATATGGGCACTGGTTCATGTCCTGGCTGTTCCACTTTCCATCCAACTCCCTGCTTATGGCCTGGGAAAGCAGTGGAGGATGAGCAGGAGGAGATTCCTGGCTCCTGGCTATGGATCAGCTCAGTTCCAGCAGTTGAGGCCGCTTGGGGAGTGAACCAGTGGAAGTAAAATCTTTCTTTCTGTATCTCTTCCTCTCTGTATATCTGACTTTCCAAAAAAAAAAGTATTTTAAAAAAAGATTTACTTAATTTGAGAGTTACAGAGACAAGAGGAGGGGAAAAGAGAGCCTAAATCCACTGGTTCACTCTCCAGACGCTCACATGGCTGGCACTGGGCCAGGCCCAAAGCCAGGAGCTTCTTTTGGCCTCCTACATGGGTGGCAGGTGCCCAAACACTTGGGCATTCATCCACAGTTTTCCCAGGCCATCTGGATGGGAAGTGCAACAGCCAGGACTTGGTACAGTGCCAAATCAGGATGCCAACATTATAGACAGCAACTTTACTCACTGGGCTGCGATGTTAGCCCCTGGCTGTTAGTCTTGATTCTTGATCTGCTGCTATCTCTGCCTCCTAATTGGCTGTTCTGTCCCTCCACTTACTGGCTAGATTGGTATTCTTTTCATTTTTTTAAAGATTCATTCTTATTGGAAAGGGAGATTTACAGATTGAAAAGGAGGTAGAGAGAAAGATCTTTCATGCACTGGCTCACCACCCCACCTCCAAGTGGCAGCAATGGCAGGAGCTGAGCCGATCTGAAGCCAGGAGCCAAGAGCCTCCTCCAGTTCTCCCATGTGGGTACAGGATCCCAAGGCTTTGGGCCATCCTCCACTGATTACCCAGGCCACAAGCAGGGCGCTGGATGGGAAGTAGGGCCACCAGGATTAAAACTGGTACCCATAGTTCAGCCACTAGGCTCCTGCTTCAGGGCCAAATTTATCTCCCTAATGCCACATAACAGCTGGCTGGCCAGAACTGTGGAAGGAACTTTGGGAACACTCAGTAACACTGTCAGCTAAGTGATCATACTTGGCAGGGCACTGTCAGTGTACTCGAGGATACTATGTATATTAAACACCAATTTCCAGTATTTGGTACAATTTCTCTCTTAGACAAGATTTACAAGTCTAGCAAGCAAGGAGGAAAAGGATGAATGGTTCTGCTTGCCATCAGTCCTAGCAGCTCACAGGGTAGCACCTCCTTGCTTCCTGTCTCTGTGATTTCTAAATCTGTAGGAGGAAAGGGTTCAGTTCCAAAACCCGGAACACTTCCACCCAGAGACACAACAGTTCTACTGACTCGGAAGCCAACACTCCTCTCTGACCTCGCTTCCCGTCTCTCAATCATCAGCCGGGGAGCTGCTGCACAGGCTGGGCTGATTAATTTGGTTGCCAAGGGGAAACTGGGTTGCTAATTCACAATGCAGGGAAGAATATTTTTCAATGGAAAAGCATATGTTTCAATTCAAGCCAGTCTGCTGATGGCCTTGACCTTAAAGGAATGAAGATCACCTCCCCAGGCAAAGAGTCATGACCAGTCAAGGTTCTAAAAGGCAAAGGGACTAGGAAACAGGTACTGGACATCCTGTTCTCCCCAAGTTACACTCAGCACGCAGTGAGGGCACACAGTCCTTGAAGGATTGACAGCTAAGCATTCAGGTCTGCTGGGCTCACCCTGCTTGTCACAAATTCCCATCCCCAGGCCAGACCGCTTCATTCTCAGCTTTCTATATGGGGCCTATGGCCACACACACCTTACTGAGGAAAGAAGAGAAAAATCTTAAAACCACTTTTTCTCCTACTCCAATCAGCATCCAATTACCAGTCCATAAGGCACAGAAGCCTTTTGTTGTGGGCTTCCCCATGTGCATGCTAACGACTCCTGGCCACTGACTGCACCATTCTACAGGGAAAACGGGATAGGCACAGGAAGTGCTTTCTCTGGCTCCAGTGAGTAGATTTTACTAACCCTGTCCACTGGGTGTGTTGTTTCAGGCAGCCACTCTGTCAGCTGGCAGTGCTGCTCCCCCTCCACTCTGCCCAGCTGCTGACAGAAATGAACACTGTAAAAATTATAAAGTATTTCTTTTTTTACCATGCTGCATGTTCATATATAATTAGCCAAATATTCCTTCTTCCTCCTCTCCCACCTGTTGTAGTCACTTGGAGAGTACACCAGCAGACAGAAGATTTCTCATCTCCCTCACTCTCCCTTTCAATTAAATAAATAAGTTTAACAAAATCATAAGATTCAGGTCCATGTTCAAAAATAAATTAAATTTTTACACATCCTAGTAATTACATGAAACTGAAGTTTAGCGGTTAAAGTCCTTGTCTAGCCCACACTGGGGTCCCATATGGGCACTGGCTTGTATCCCCGGTGGCCCCACTTCCCCTCCAGCTCTCTGCTTGTGGCCTGGAAAAGCAGTCGAGGACGGCCCAAAGCCTTGGGACCCCGCACCCATGTGGGAGACCTGGAAGAAGCTTCTGGTTCTGAATCAGCTCAGCTCCAGCTGTTGTGGCTATTTGGGGAGTGAATCAGCAATGGAAAATCTTCTCTCTCCTCTTCGCTGTATATTTGACTTTCCAATAAAATAAATAAATCTTTAAAAATATATATGGAACATTTCATGAATTTGTATGCCATCCTTGCTTGGGGGCCATACTAATCTTCTCTGTATTGTTTCAATTTTAGTATATGTGCTGCCAAAGCATGTACCATTATGATCTTGAGTTACTTGCTGCACTTAAGATCCAGTTCCCTGCTAATGTACCTGGGGAAGTATCAGAAAACGGCCCAAGTACTTGGGCCCTGCCACCCATGTGGAAGACTTGGATGGAATCTGATATCCTAGCTTTAGCCTGGGTCAGTCCTTGCTACTGCAGTCACGTGAAGGGTGAACTAATCGGTGGAAGATCTGTCTTTCTACTTGTTTCAAATAAACAAATTAATAATCTTTAAAAAAAATAAGAGAGAAATTGATAAACTGGATTTCATCAAAATTAAGAATCTGTTTTTAGGTAATTAAAAGAAAATCCACAGACTGGAAAAAAATATTTGCAAATCATATATCTGATCAAGGACTTGAATCCCAACATATAAAGAAAGCTAGAATTCAGTAACAGGAAAAACTCAATCAACAAAATGGGCTAAAGGTCTGAACAAACACTTTACAGGGGGCAAATAAACATGAGATACTCAGTATTTCTGATGATAAGGGAGGGAATTATGAAACAATAGTAACATAGAACTTGTTAAAATGTCTAAAGGTCTGACTATGCAAACAGGCTGATAATTAAAACTTTAATTAATCACTGACAGAAACATAATAGTATAGTCACTTTGGCAAAACAACTTGATGACATCCTAAAAGCTAAACACATACACATTTTTAATATGTGGGACAGCCAATTTATTCTTCAGCACTGACCTAGTAGAAATGAAGTGCTATGTCCTTATGAAAGATTTAGGAAAAGCAGCTCTATTCAGAATACCTCCAAATTGGAAATAATGCAAAGGTCCAATATTTGATGAACGGATTTAAACACTATAGTATATTTATACACAGTACAACACTGAGCAATAACTGCTAACATATGCGACAACACGGATGTATCTCCTAACATTAGGCTGAAGGAAAAGACACGCAAGGCTATATATCAGAAATGTTCTGAATGTTGTGCTTTTAAACAGCTACGTGCCTTTACCTAAATGCAAACTCTACATTGAAAATGGACATAATATTATGAGGGTACTTCAAAAAGCTCATTTTGATGCAAAGGAATTCCAAAATCCAAGAGGAGTCTTCAAAAGGCTCACAGAAAATATGCATTATGAAGAAAACTGCATGGATTTTAATGGGTTTTATTTGGCAACAAAATAAACCTTTCAAAGTAGTCTCCTATGTAAATATAGCCTGGAAACGCTGATTATTACGAAATAAAGAGTGATGAACACACAATTCAGAATAGAAATTTTCTTGGGTAAGTAGCAGGTAAGAAATTGGAGGGCAGGGGAGAGAGTAAATGGACATCCACCTAAATGGATGTCAATTATAGTAAAATTCTCTGGCTGTTCCATGTATATTTATTATGCTATTAAAATAGACCCAGAAAACAGAACACTACACAGAGATAATGCTATAAGTAATTGAAAAGCTAAAAATGCCTGACTGAATATTGGACTCCTGATGTCCGAATCATGCATAAAATAGAAATCATGGCAATACTGGAAATGATATAGTATTAGCTAGTTCAGAAAATGTCACTCAAAATGATTAAATTCTTGAGTTTGAGTTTTGGGTCCAGCATAATAGCCTAGTGGCTAAATCTGTGCCTTGCACATTCAGGATCCCATGTGGGTACCAGTTCATGTCCCAGCTGTTCTACTTTCCATCCAGCTCCTGGCTTGTGGCCTGGGAAAGCAGTCAAGGACGGCCCAAAGCCTTGGGACTCTTGTACCCAGATGGGAGACCTGGAAGAAGCTCCTGGCTCCTGGCTTCGGATAGGCTCAGATCTGGCTGTTGTAGCCGCTTGGGGGAGTGAACCAGTGGATGAAGATCTTTGTTTCTCCCTCTCTCTGTATATCTGCCTTTCCAATAAAAATAAATAAATATTAAAGTGTTCAACTTTCACTCTGCCTGATACTCAGATTAACTATTTAAGAAAGAGAGTAACTTTGTGAGTCCAACTCAGAGACATGCTGATGCTTACCCAGGGGTTCCACCAGCTGGTCAACCAGTCCCATCTTCTTTGCTCTGTCTGCCCGAATGCTTCTCCCGGTCAGCATCATGTCGAAAGCAGCAGGCACACCCACCTAAATGCGAGCAATGACCACAGTGTAGAGAAAAAGAACATTAGGCAACAATCACAGTAAGTAAACAGTAAAACAAGAATGTCAAACCATATTTTTATGGTACTTATCAGTAAGTTAAAATTTAGAAACTGATACACATTCAGATTTTGACATTAGATACCTCCCAGCTCAAGAAAAAAATGTCTGTATATCTCTAAATTCAATGTTAGATTTCTGTCTTATAGAATTCAGAAGGCAGAAAATTAACTTTAGGGTTCCTAAAATACTGTATATTTATGTCATTCTAAATGTGTTCTTTATTTTTCATATAATATTTTTAATTCCTACATGGAAACTACTAGAGACTTTGAGAAAACTGGTAATGATCAGTCTGAAAAAAAATTTAACAAAAATAAAATTCAGCTACAATGTCTTACATGAGGTGTTATTAGAATGGCTCATAGCAACCTTCAAATATCAACTGCAGGGGTGGGGTTGTGGCATACAAGTTAAAATTCCATCCTCCCACTCAGGGGCATCTGGGTTCGAGACCTGCCTTTGCTTCTGATGCCAGCTTCCTGCTAGTGCTCACCTTGGGAGCAGCAGGTAATGGCTCAAGTCCCCGGGTCTCTGTCACCCACTCAGGAGACCCAGACTGAGTTCCTGACTCAGGGCATTTGCAGGCATTTGGGAAGTATCAGATCAAAGATCTCTGTCTGTCTCTCTCTGTATTTCAAGCAGATAAAAATAACTAAATTTCTGAAACCCCAAGTGTAGTTTAAAAAAATAAAGAAAAAGGTAAAGCAAATTTTCTTTACAAACCTATGTGCTTAACCACTCTAGTAAAATTCTCTTGCTATTCCTAGGGAGGAATGTACATTATTTTTCCCAAGTTAACACCAAAAGCCTTTCTAATTTGTTATTCCTGACTCCCACAGACTTCTCTGTGAAGGGAATTATTTCCACTGCGGTATCTAAAGTGCCCAGAGCTGGGAGGGTTAGCATGCCCTTGGGTTTGCCCTAAGATTGCTCTGCACCTTCTGGCCTGAGTGTCCTGTCCTCATCTTAACAACTGAAAAGACTGATGGGCCCCTAAAAGCATTATGCAAACCTGAGACTGTGGGGAAAGGTCTCCCAGAGTTACCATGAATAGAGCTCAGTTGGAAAAATAGTGAATGTGGTACTGCTCAGAGAAGCAATGAGTTAAAGTCCCAGAAAAAGAGATGAACCTTCCTCTCCAGGGACTAACAAAGGACTCTGATCTATAATTCTGTTGTCGGACTCATGTACAGTGCAGTTAAGCTGCTGCTTACAAATCGAGGTAGAGTGTGGCCGCTCTGCTTGTGATCCAGCTTCATGGAAAGGTGGCAGAAGGCGGTGCAATTTCTCGGCCCCCTGCCAGTTACATGGGAGACCATGACAGTGATCCTGGCTCCTGGTCTCAGCCTGGGCCAGACTTGGCTGTTGTAGCCATCTGGGGAGTGAACCACTGCACTGGATGGTGACCTCTTTCTGTCTCATCCTGTCACTCTGTTTTAAGGGGAAAAAAAGTATTTACATATTTATTTATTTGAAAGGAGGAGCTAGACAGAGACAGAGGAAGAGACAGATCTCTTTCATCCACAAGTTCACTCTCCAAATGGCTGCAATGGCTGGAGCTCAGCTGGTCTGAAGCTGGGAGCTAGGAACTTCTTCTAGGTCTCCCACATGGTGCAGAGGCCCTAGCACTTGGGCCATCTTTCACTGCCTTCCCAGGCACATGAGCAGGGGTAGAATCAGAGGTGGAGCAGCCTGGACTTGAACCAGGGCCCATATGGGATGCTGGCAGAGCAGAGAGCTGTTTTACCCTACTTTGACACAACGTGGGAATCGTCACTCTGCCTTTCAAATAAATCTTTAAAAAAGTTTTTGTGGAATTGAAAAAACAAATTCCAGGAATGAAAAAAATCTGTTGCTGCTTCTGTGTAGTCGTGTTTCATTTGTGGCTTCAACATTCTACAATGAGTATCCTTATTATGCATTTTGTATAACAGGAAATAGTTGTAAAGGACCAAATACTTCCTGAGTTATTGGTGGGGGATATCTCAAACTTACCATTTTGGGAAGCCTTTGAGTGCCTCCTGCTCCAGGTAAGATCCCCAGCAAGACTTCAGGAACTCCTAATACTGTTTTTCTATCTTTTGTTGCTATTCTGTACTGGCATGAAATGGCAAGCTTCAAACAAATGAAAGAAAATTCAAATGTTAAAAATTTAACTCCAAAACATTTTAGTATCTATGAGGGTCTGATTATTTATAAAGCAGGAATGTATCCACCAAATACAAAGAAGCCCCTTAACCTGGCATCTGACAACTCCCTGAAATTTACTTCTTCAAGTTTTTTTCCATACTCTCTCCCTAATTTATTTAACTCTTTCTCACTGAAGATGTTCTCAAAAATCTGCTGAAAGTTATCAAAGTTCTCAAGAGAAAAATGCACACCTAATTTTACAGGGACTCCAAATAAAGAAGGCCTGTACCCAGCATAGACTCCTCACAATTTACAGAATTCCAGCAGGCTTTGCCTACACTTGCCTTGGCTCACATCACAGCATAATGGAAATGCTTTTTCCACTACCACGTGACTAATTAAATTCTGCTCATCTTTCAGAGCTAGAGAAAGTTGTCCTTAAGGCATGCGAAAGTGTCTAGCTTAGAGTTCAGATGTGATAAATACTCCAGAGATGGTATTTTCTTTTTCTCTATTTCTTTCCTGTAGGCTCCAGTTTGGCCTTTCAAATCTTGCATTGTTTACCATAGTTACTACTATTGAAGCACTTAAAACTAGATTCATGGAGCTCAAGACACAGATGACACTTTCAAATCTTTCCCATACAAACTTGCACCAGGTTTTTTTAAATGCAAAGCGTGGTAGAGATGTA